CACGTCACTATTTTGACATCGCTTAGGATTAGGATTAGCGTCGGGTGTTAGATTAGGGTTAGGACGGTTCGGTTGTTCTGTTAGGTTAGGTTTAGCTGTTACGCGACTCCCATAGACTGTTAGTAGTGGAGTAGGCGATGGTACGGTTCGGCATATTAGATAGTCACCAGGCTACGTTCCGGCCCAGTACCCCCGGGGGGAGCATAGACCCTCTCAGCCCTACTACCTCAGGTAGCCTACTACTTCAAGTCGGTATGAGGTCAGTATAGTATACCTACTAGGACTCGCACATACCGTGCATGAAGTCATTTCACACCTTCTGCCTTATACATTCAACATTTGTATTACAAAATTCGCACCAGTTTCACCGAATGCAGTGCAAGGCAAAACATCGAATCTTTATACCCGGCCCATCCCGGCGGTGTTTTGTGCTTAAGGTTAAAATCAGATATCTGTTCCGAGGTCGTAGCCGGTAACGCAGCGGTCGCAAACCAGGGTGCAACTGGTAAAGCTCCATTCTCTATGACTGGTTCGCGCCCCCGGCCCGCCACTGTTTGTCGCAGACAGTTTTACATTGTTTAGCAGAGCTGAGGCCGGTATAGAGGGTACCAGTCTACCCTTGCTGCTACCGTAGCTTGCTTGCCAGCCGCAGTAGACGATTGCTCGGCTACCGATGTGTATCGCCGCCGCCTGTGTACATTATTATTCGCCCGGGGTGATCGAAATACGAATGATGCGCCGTGAACTCGGCCCGGGACGCGGCGCATTTAAAGGCGGACAAACGAGCCATCTATGACTCTGCTACTATGTAGTAGGTCCTCGAGCCGCGTCTCGAGCCCGAGCTTCCTCGAGTCCTGAGGCCGAGTCCGACGTCGAGTTGCACTCGGACGCGCCGGATGACCGAGCACCCGCAGACCAATGAACCCCACACGGGGGTCTCCGAGCACCGTACAACACTGCGTCGTGTGTGTGTCCTCCTCTGTGGGGTGTGGTGTGTCGTGTGTGTTGTGTTGTGGCATGATAGGCCCCGCTTTTGGTGGCTGTGTGGTGGTGTGTGATGTGTGGGTGCACTGTTGGTGTGCGTGTGTGTGTACCTGCACAGGAGCGGCCGGCCGGTAGCTTCGTTATGGGACAGAACTTGCCGACGGTTGGATCGTAAACCTCGGCAGACGACAGCTCCTTCATGCCGTCAGATCCGCCGACCGCGTACACCTGCAAGAGTCACACGTAACCATAGCAACATAGCAACATCGCGTAAACACACACAGGGATCGCGGCCGTGCATCCGTGAGGGATAACCGAGCTCTAAACCGAAGACAAAGACACGCGCGCATGAACCGCTCGCAGATGCATGCATTCATTACCAGGTCTAGAGATAGCTGCTCAACAAGGTATTACCCCTGCCTTAACCGATTCGTCGTGAGGCGCTAGGCTACTACACAATGGCTGTGCGCGTCAAGTGTATTCTTCTTCCTTACTTCTTATCCTCTTGGTCCCCCGATGGGACATAAAGGCCGTCACGTGTATTACAACACTGAAATGATCTTGCCTACACGTTATATACAAGAGCTGCTGATGCAACTGATTGTCTATACGGGCGAGGTCGAGCCCAATGCACCAAACTGCCAAATGCCCCCGCGAGAGTTCTCTCTCGTCCGTCCCGCGCGTAGATCACTTCGCATTGCGCATACCATGCCGTCTAGGACCGCGACGTCAAAGCGCCCCCTGGCGGTGCTCATCGGCAGTCCCGGTTTCCAGCAGTTCGTTTTCGGGTCGTAGACTTCCACGGTGTTAAGGCACTCGCCACGATCGTAGCCTCCTACATCGAAGGCAACAAACAGACTCTGTTCACCTACTGAGTGCAGTGAGCACACATCAAGCAGTACAATTGAGGGAGGCCTCGCAGATCGAGTGGCCACTTAATATCGTCGCCCTTGTGTGTAGCGGTCACTTGAGCGAACTCAGAAACTCAAGCGTCCTTCACAGACAGGTGGCTGTTCTACACAGGTGTTATATTGCGTAACCGGCACTCAAGGGTAATGTCAAACATGAGCTTTATAGGTGGGCGGGTCCAGTATATAGAGGTCGATTCACTCTATAACTGTCACTCGAGACAAATGCAACAATGTGTCCTTTATAGACAGGTGTCCTTTCTATGAGGGGACCTCTATCACAGACTTGACCGGACTCCATTTAAAGATATGAACGTATTCATAAATAAAATAAAACAATTAATAAATTCAAAAATAATGTATATTTAAATCTAGCACTACAGAAGGATCTACTTTGGATGCTTACACGATGACCCAACGTGAACGACACATATATGGTCAATTTCTATACTACTGTAAGAACGAACTCTGTCTGTCTGCTATGCATTCCATCTTTTGTTCGTTTACGATGCCCAAAATTCTCACACTGTTAGGTGATCACCAGTAGAAGGGCGCCTACGCACATCTTGCCAACACGTGAAACTGCGTGGCCGCCACGTAACTCACCGCACACAAACACCTTGTTGTCGAGGCAGCATATAATGTATATTTATGTCTAGCACTATATGGGGGAAAACAATGATCATAGAAGGATCTACTTAGAAAGCCTTCTTCTTCTTCTTCTCGGGTCACTACACTAACTACCTCGCCACCTGCAGCACCAGGACTTGACACGGTGGTTGAACCCTCAAGGTCTTCAGCCCCCCCCCGGGGATTCAGGGCCTTGATTAATATAGAGGTACTTTCTTGAGTTAGATTACATGGACAACGTGAACACGTATTAGCGCGAGACCCGTGCAGCCGTGATTTGCCGATCCAGTTTATTGAAATTGCAATGCCAAAATGTGTAGCACAGGAGCCTCAATATTGATCAAGCCGTGCTACATTGTAAATTCTGGCCTCCACATATAGTCCTGGCTATACTCCTTGCGGTGAATGACATACATGGCCAAACTCTCGCCAACATGTGATGAACATGCATTTACGTAAACTCACCCGCACACGAACACCTTGTCGGCGAGGCAGCAGGTCCCGACACCGCAACGTGGCTGGTCCCATGTCGGCTAGCGGCTGTGGTCGTTGCTGAGGCTGTTTGCGCGGGAGCGTGGTGGGCTGAGCCCCAGAGGCGTGCTCTGTTCGTGCAGGGTCACCCGCACAAGCAGCCCGTTAACGCAGAACAGCGCGACGCACACGTGATCTGTGGGAGAAGTCAGTGGTTAGTGATAGACGGAACAACACCATGAAGGTTCAGTCAGTGGTTAGTGACAGATGGAACAACAGCGTGAAGGTTCAGTCAGTGTGTTAGTGATAGACAAAACAACAGCATGAAGGTTCAGTCAGTGGTTAGTGATAGACAGAACAACACTGTGAAGGTTCAGTCAGTGTGTTAGTGATAGACAGAACAACACCATGAAGGTCCAGTCAGTGTGTTAGTGATAGACAGAACAACACCATGAAGGTTCAGTCAGTGTGTTAGTGATAGACAGAACAACACCATGAAGGTCCAGTCAGTGTGTTAGTGATAGACAGAACAACACCATGAAGGTTCAGTCAGTGTGTTAGTGATAGACAGAACAACACCATGAAGGTTCAGTCAGTGGTTAGTGACAGAGAGAACACTGCGACACTGATATGCTTTGTGGGGCAAAGCCAACAATCAACATGGTTAGCAAGCGACAACGAAGCCACAAAGGTTAGTGACAGATGGAACAACAGCATGAAGGTTCAGTCAGTGTGTTAGTGACAGATGGAACAACACACTGAAGGTTCAGTCAGTGTGTTAGTGACAGATGAAACAACAGCATGAAGGTTCAGTCATTGTGTTAGTGATAGACAGAACAACACCATGAAGGTTCAGTCAGTGTGTTAGTGACAGATGAAACAACATCATGAAGGTCCAGTCAGTGGTTAATGATAGACGGAACAACACCATGAAGGTCCAGTCAGTGTGTTAGTGATAGACAGAACACTGTTATGCACACAATATTTATAGGAGAAATTAACAGTCAGTGGTAAGAGACATACAGCAATGTTGTGTTCTGTGGAAGAAATGAGTCAGTGGGTAGCAAGAGACAACAGTGTTACACACACAATGTTTGTGGGAGAAGTCAACAGACAGTGGTTCTAATGCAGTTCTGATGTTAACAAGAAGATTAAGAGAGCAAGAGCGAAACCTATGTACAGGCAATGAATGGTAGGGAGGAAGAGATGCACACTAAGAGAAGATAACTGTCACTGTCCAAGGGTAAATGAAGGGCATACAGTAATTTTCAAGTGCATTATTTAATGGTAGACGAGGGGCATTCATCCACATTCACTGTCCACAGCAGAAGAGGGCCAGAACAAGAAGTAATCAAAGATGCGTGTGTCAAAAGCACAACAACAACACAAACATGCAAACGCCACCAAGGGAGGCCGCAGCCCTCTGCACACAAATCTGCCCCCCCCCCTCCGCCCGCACAGCACACGCACCAATGCCATATCAATCAATCAATCAATCAATCAATCGTTGCCGCGGCAACAGATCTCACCGGCGGTCTGCATGCTGGCGATGACCTTCCACTCGTGGTCATCCTCGTCCTCAGACTTCGTGGACTTGCGGTTAAGGCTCACCGGTCCGTTGGAATGATGGCGGATGCGTGAGTACGCCTTCGCCGGAGTGATCGACTTCATCTTAGTCTGCTTTTTCGACTTCTTCTTGTATTCCTTGATAGAGTAATATAAATAGTATGATATATATATATATATAGTATTCATTGACAGAGTAGTATATTTAAAGGATATCATATGGGCTGATGCATAAGCGGGATAAGGAACATGCTCCCGGCATCTACCAGGCAGCAACGTGGCCGAGTGAGAGTGTGGGATATTATCGATTGGATCGGGTGAGACAGTGGCACACCTGACAAAGTTCTCTTACAGGTTTTTTTTAAGGATAAGAACTTATCAGTGGATACAAGTGTTTTATTGTATTGAGGATTACCATTTATCACCCTATTTTGTTGTCTCCTTATTGCAAATAAGAATTTATCAGGGCGTTAGTGTCATACATTATCATTTTATTAATGGTAATTAATATGAAAGTGTCAATGACACTGTAGCTCACCACAAAAAAGGACACAAATGAGTGAGTGAGAAGAAGTCAGTTTAAATTGAGCAACCATCGACGTACATTATAGAAACGAA